TTGCATGCAGCCTTTCAGCCTTCTGGTTCTCCCTCGGCCACATTTTTCCTTTTGTCTTCCACAATTATGCATTATCTTGAATCGTTGACGTTGCTGTAGTCAGTCGCTGTCGGTGTCGCTCGTCTTCTTTCTTGGCGATTTAAATTTTGCATTTAATTACTGTTCACATTTCTCAAATTTCTCCCTGTCTCCCCTCTCGGTTCTCAGGCAACACTCTCTCAGGTGTCGCTGTCGTCGTCGTCGGCTACGTCGTCGGGAAGGCATTATCATTATCATCCGCATCTGCATCTGCATCTGGCATTGGCATCTGCTGTGGCATCGTGCAGCGGCAACATTATGCTCATTATGCATTTCACTTTGCTGAAGATGCATCCACAGCTCCACCAACAGCTGGGGGGGGCCCCCACACACCTCTTGCATTCTCTCTCTCTCTCTGTATACTTCGCTGTCTCCATGGGAAAGTTCTTTCTCTGTCATTTCGTGTCTTACAGCAATTACAACAATATTTCTCTATGTCTGAAGAGGGCAGAAGGAAGAGTGCTATGGGCATGATCTATTGGTAGATCGTTGGGCAGGTTATCCAAAGAATCTTTGGCAAAATAATAATTGAAACAGACAGAGCACTTTTCCAATATAAGAAAATGCTCCAAAAGCTGCACTCAAAGTCTGTCTGGCTGATAAAGATCTTTTATTTAAACCTTTTACCATGAAATACCAGAAGAGACATCACTTTGGCAAGTCATTCCAAGGCTAATTAATTTATGCACCCTCAACACAGAGCACAGAAGGCAGCATCCAGGAGGCAGGTGCACTGCACATAGGAGAGGAGGCCACTCAATGATTGACTTTTGCCAGTTGCCAGTTGCTTGCTAACTGATCAGCAGCAATCACTGGCCGTGCAATGCACAGCATCTAATTATGCACTAGATGTGCCTGCTGCTGCTGCCCGAAGGAAAAAAAAAAACAAAGACATCGTCGGAGTCGGAGTTGGAGTTGGAGTCGCTGCAGGTGCAATGGAAATTGGTGCAACATTGCGGTAAAAGCCAATAAAGTGGCAGGTCGCCATAGAGAATACATAGAGCGGCGATGGATGTGCCTGCCTACCTACCTACCCACCTACCAGCCTCCCTACTGCCGCACATGCCACACATGTCCCATGCAAATAGTCGCTCCTTCCAGCTCACTTCCATTTTTCCTCTGTGTGTTCTCTTTCTGTGCCTGCCTCCATTTGTGCCTTAATTAATTTTGATTGCAGCTTGCAACAGAGGCAAGCACACACAGCGAAGCTGTTGCACAGCGGAAATGTTCATCACACGCGTGTGGCAAGAAAAACAGCAACCGAAGCAGCAGCAGCACAAAAGAAGAAAAGAACAGCATACCAGCAACCGCTTTTAGCCAGGCTAATTAATTGAATTGCATTGCAAAAGTTGGAGGACCGCCCGCCTATCGGGCTGGCACAGACTCTCGGCCTTTGTTAGAGCCCTCGCATGCAAAGTGGCCCAAAGAGGCCGCTAATCAAATTATTAACCCGTCCAGCCACTAATGGGGCACTCCAACTCGGTGGGGCCACTCCAACTACACCGCTCCTGCCGCCTGCCGCCAGCCTTTTTGCCCACAAATCATTCATTTAGCCATTGCACTTATTTATGGCCATAAAATGCATTTGAAATGGTGCCGCCGCCAGTACCAAAGTCCCAAAAAAAAACAACAGCGTTGACAACGCCTGAAAACATCCCAAAAACAAAAAAAAAACCCACCCAAAAAATGTCTAGCAATGTCTACGCATAATTCATGGACATAACGCATAATTCATCATCCATGCCAGGGCCAGGCGCCTGGGCTGGGCACAGTGGGTGGCACAGCTCTAAATTGTAGCACACAAATGTGGCGAGCGGCAAGAATTACTCTACTTATAGTATAGTTTAGTATAGTGCTATTCCCATTGCAAACAGTCGTCTTAATTTTCCAATCCCACTGTAAGTCAAGAGTATTACAGACATAATCATGTTGCATGCAACATTACCTCATCTCTGGGGCTGCGAGACTTATTTGCGGTCTAGGCAGCTCCGGCGCTGGTGCTGGTGCTGCTGCTGGTCCGGGCAGGTCGTGTGGTTCGGCGTCAAAGGTATACAAAATTTATGGTCAAATCAACACCAACAACGAACATCCATTTGGATATTATTTAACCAGTTTGTCGTGTGGGGGTGGGGCGGGCCACGAAGGCGGCGACCCCATTCACTGGCGCATCTCGGGGATAGTCTTGGACTTGCTTATAATTTAATTAGCTTTTCCTATTGCCTGAGGGGAGCTCCTCCTATCGCTTCGAAATCATCCTTACATAACGAATGAAATGACGGAGACCCGAAGGGACGGGTCCAACGGGTTGCACGGGTTCAAAGTGCGCCCACAGCAGGTGGGGGAGAGCTCTGAGCTCCTCGGCGTAGAAGCTCTAGGGTTAATTGTCTGCCAGTTTCAGTCACGAAGCCAAATTTGACTATTCATTATCCATTGAAAGAGATTTTTCTCGCAGTGGGAACAATCAGAGCCTTTCTAACAGGAAATCCGCACGATCGGGGTCAGCATCTGAGCCACAGAAATAGCCACAGCCATAGCTACAGACATGGGGTGGGGTGGGGTGACCCACTAAATTAATATGAATGACCACATTTCACGGCAACTATTTCGCACCTATGTCAAGAGACGTCAAATGTTTATGCAAATATCGCTTTTAATGCGCTGACTGGAGACTCGCAGATACAAAGATCCAGAGAGGCAGAGAGAGGAGGCGGTCTACCAAAATGCAAAATAAACACGAAAAAATAGCAACAAACAAAAGCCGAAATAAAAGCTTGGCTGCAAAATGAAATCATTTCGAACGTGTTTGTGTCGTGATTTCTTTGAGCAAACGGCGGCTGCCAGACCCACAGCACTCCGGCTGCCATCGGCGACCTTGTCAAATTAGTGCCAAAAATGCCGGGTGACAAAAGAGACTCTCGCCCCAGATCCCGAGCCAATCTCAAACTTCGAGTGTATTCATAAATCAGTGCACAATGAATAAACAAACGAACCCAGGGAATCTACTAAGCGAATCTCTTAGAGCGAAAAGTGGTTGACAAAATCTGGTATTTCGAGTTGAATTTCAATTTCAGCTTTTGTTTGAATATTTCGATTTTTGGCTACTGTGGAGCAGAGTTCTGTGAAGATTGTGTATAATTTAATTCAAATCTATTGCTAGGACTATGAATTGAGGTCAGAACTGGTTCTAGCACACGATTATTATTAATTAATGTTAATTTTAGATGGCTAGCACAAACGATTCAAATTAATTGATGGCAGGAAATGGCAAACAATACATAAGTTCGTAGCGTGGCTGATTTAAGTGGCTCTCAAAAATGCCATTAAGAAGCGATTGGGGTATTTGCTTCAATCAGCAGCTTGAACTTTAAACTTTAATCGCACTGATGTGCAATCGAATGCTACTCGTATTCGTATAGGAAAGGATAACTATGATCTGGTTCAAACGAAAATGCACTTGGAATTCGATGTCATACCACTTTTAATTTGTGCATTTTTTATGTGCCGTGAAAGAAATTTTTATATTGTGTAAGCATTAATAGATGTTTCTCTTCTAGTATTCCTCCTTCTTATTAGATATTCCATTTATTCTTCATTTTTTTTCCTATATCTATTTAATCTCTCCTTACTACGAGTATCTTTCGCATATTAATTCCGTCATTTTTCATTCATTCCAATTTTTAATTGAAAAATACTCTTAAATATTTCTAACATCTACACAAATTAGCTTTCTATATAACTCTTCTCTCTCTCTCCCCTACTCACTCTCTATTTGCCTTCACCTTTCACTAGCTTCGTACATATTTCAACCATCTCGATCGGCAATTACCGAGTTCTTGTTGGTCAATGCACTTATAGACGCGCCCCATAAAAAACTGTGTGGCCAACATTTAGCTGAGTTTTACTCTACCCTACTCTACACCACCTCTTTGACTGCTTGTTTGTTGGTTTGTTTGTGTTGCCTAATCTTTCGGTTGGCCCAACTCTTGGCCAAGCGTCAGCATTTAATTTACCCACTTTACGTGGGGCACAAGCCACATTTTGGTCACTTTAAAAAGCCATTAGAACCTACTTCGACTCAGAGTCAGAGTTGGATGAGGAGTCAGCCAGTCAGCCAGTCAGCCAAGCGGAAACTGTACAAATTCGTCTTCCCCATTGTTCAGATTGAGATTGTTTTCCATGCTGACTCAGGGGGGGGGGGGGGGAAAATGCTAATTCTGTACACAAATCAATTCGGATGAAGAGGTCTCAGGGCTGAGGGATGGGATGTGGCTCTTCTACCTGACGAGTTAACACTTTCGTGTCACCTTCTCTTCTCTCTCTCTCTCTCTCTCTGTTTCCACACTGGTTGCTAATTGGAAGGATGGGTTAAACGGGTTGAAAGACACGTGCTTGACCTCTCTGCGAAACTCTGACCTCTGTGACAAGCGGCTTAATTATGTCATTACCATGAAAGATGGCAGGGAAAGAGCTGGAACCCAGAAGAGCCATCAACTAGAGCAATACATAATTGTCGGACATTATCAGTGAAAGTCGGCAAATGGAGTTAATAGTCGGTCGTTCTCTTTCTCCGTCTCTCACGACTCTGCCAAGTGGCTACCTCTGTTCTATAGGCATAATGAAAAGCTTTGAAAATGGTTGCATGTTAGGTGCGTATTAGGAACAGGAAATGGGTCTTCTTGGGTATGGTATGCGAAAGTGTCGGCGGACCAAGTAAAAGTAACACAATAGCCATCCAAAGTTCGTTCACATCATGATGAAATAATAAATAATAAATATTGTAAAGCTCACACAGTCGTAACTATTTCTAAAACGGACCACAAACTGCGTTCTCATGTCTCAAAGAACTAAACAAAAAATTAGCAAACAAAGGAGTAGACTTTTGTTTGGTTCCTTTGGATAAATTAATGGGGGGGCCGACTTACTATGTGAAATATTCCATAAAATTGATGAGCGATTTCCATTTAATTACCTGCAAAGAGACAGAGAAGCAGAGAAGAAAGGGAGAAAACGATTAAACAAAGTTGCCTTGCTGCAGAGTACACAAAGTTTTTAAACTGTTTAACTATTCATGAAAAACTTTGCCATAAATCATCATCGAGAAAAACCAATTTGTCTCAACTTTTCTCAGAGTTTTTCGCCGTTTTCTTTTTCCGCTTTACCCTCTGAGCAAATATTTATAAGTATTTATTTAGTCATAAGTTTGGACTGCTTTATAAGTATTTGTGTTGCATCTATCAATATCAATAATTATGGATTATTGGCACAAGTATCGTAAGAGATGAGCTATCGTTGATTAGGGAGCTACATATTGATAAATATTTATCACATTTGCATTAATATAATTCCCCCGGTTAATATCCGTTAATGGCATACCACCAGAGCCTGCTGCTACATGCAATTTGTGTGTGTATCCCATTGGGAGAGTCCCCTGCGGGCTGCCAGCAGTCCCCTGTAACATCACTGTCTAGAAATAATCGTACCGCGGCACGTACAACAAACAGTCGGGAAATAGGCATAGGCAAACACCTTGGACCCGGGGACCGGGACCCCAGAACAGAACTCCATCGCCAGAAGAGGCTATAGCTCCAGCTCCAGCTCCTGCGCGCCTACAGCAGCAGGAGCACCACCACGCCACCACCCACAAAATCAGAGGCGCTTTGTGGCTACAGCAGGGTCGCGTTTTTACCCGCTTTCCCTCTCTCTCCCACCACTCCGTTAAACCATGCACTAACCCTGCATTTGCTTTTGTGTCTCGTCTACTTTTTATTCTCTGCTTCTCTTCGCCTGTTTGCCTCTTTTTCCTGCTCTACGTTGCTGCTGCTGCTGCTGGCCATGTTAATGACCCTAGGAGGCTGCCTAGGGAGCATACAAAGAGAGAGACAGAAAGTGTGTGTGTTTGTGCCCACACAGTGGCTGTCAAACTGTGGTCTCCCCTTTTGTAGAACGCCTCGTTGGCTGCTGTCGCTGTCGCTGCTGCGGCTACGCGTTGCATTCAATTTAGGCGTCTGCGCATAAAATTGCATCGCTTGCTTTGCTTTACTTAGCCATGGGGCATGCTGCAGCAGCAGCAGCAGCAGCAACCACAACAGCATCATCATCATCATCTCCTCCTCGTACGTGTGGAGCACTTGCAACAGGGTGTTTTGTATTCGTTCTTCTTTTATTGTTTCTTCTTCTAAATACAAATTAACAAATTTCCAACACATGTTCACATAAATCCACTAAAAATCATTGCAATCGGTCAACTAGTTTTTCTCGTTTTCCGAATGTTTCGAGTCTTCCAAACTTCTGTCGATTGGGGGTATTAGGGTATCTTTTAATCGGTTTTTGCTGAGCAATTTACCGTTTTTGATTTGTTTCTGCGCTAATTTATATAAATACATTTCGCTGTGAGGTACAGGAAATGTTGCCTCATGAGTGCCTCATGGATGAACTTAATGGATGAAATGGATGCCTGTGGGGGTAGCCCTGATTCGATATTCATCAAGAGCATTCACAATCTCTCACCTTTATGTCAAAGCTGAATAAAAAAAAGAAAAAGCAACCAACATAAAAGCTCAAAAATACTCACATTCATACATATGTACATATGTACGTACAAACAGCTCTGTTTTACCATAAACAACTTTTGCAATTGTCAGACTTCATGTCGACACTTCAGACACTCGAATGGAGAGTGGAGTGGAGCAGCAGGAGCAGGGCGGTGTGTATGGAGGAGGAGCAGCGGGAGATGGAGTAGGTGCAGGAGAAGGCCACAACAACAACGCATTGCACTTTGTGGGCGAACTCCCAATTGCAATTCCAGCTCCAAGTCCCAGTCCCAGTTCCAGTTCCATTCTCCTTTGCCAGCCTCCCTCCCTCCAAGCGCACACAAAAAAAGTTGAGTGAGTTGTAAATGAAGCCCACACATGGCTCCATCTCCCTCCCTCTCCCTCTCAAGGCATTTGCCTTTGCTCAATTGGAGTCAATGTCTCGGCGGAGATTCATGCAGAGATTTTCTGTATCTGCATCTGCATCTGAATCTGCCGCGGGCCTCCCGCCAGCCGCAACGAACTGGAACTTTTTCAACAAGCGACCGCCGCCGTCCATGCGGCGTGTGTTAATTGCAAAATGTTGCTTTTTGCCTCCTGACAATTATTAAGTTGATATATTTCTTTCCTTTTCTATTGTGGCTTACACACACACACAAAACACACAGCAGGCAAGCTTTCACACGCATGCGGCACATGAACAGGAATCGGAATGCAACGGAATGAAACACTGAGCCACGGAAAGCAAAACAAATGATAAATGACACGATCATGTTGGGAAGAATAAGAAGCGATTGGAACTTTTCTATCATTAGATTTACGTGTAACTTCCCGAGTAGTTCCAAATGAAATAACCATTAAATGTGGATAATATTTAAAGACTTATTAGCTCAAGGCTTAAATGGTAGGCTTGCCCCCTCCTCTCACATATCAAGCAGAAAGACTTTCGCCCAGAACATGTGGCCCCGAGGGCCCCAGTAAAAAAATCATTTATTATTTTCACGTTTTCACGTTTCTTTTTTACTGGAAGTTTGGAGTCTTTTACTCATTTCACGCCCATCAGCAACTCACATTTTCCATTCCATTCCTTGGTCTGGTCAGTCAGTCAAGTCATACGCGTATAATTACTTTTAACTTGGATTTATATTTTAACTTTTGCTAGTTGTATCTGTAGCTGAGAGCTGTCAATTTAAATAAAAGACAGACAGACACGCAGACACATACATACATACATACATAGTGTATGTATAGTGGGCCTGTAAATGTGCAAAATTAACATAATTACAGGCAATTGCAATAAAATGTAATTAATTTGCCAGCTTGCATTTTTAGTTTTGGTTTTGGTTTCGGACTTGCAATCGCAACCAATTAGCCGTGTAATCAATAATGCACGAGTGCATTCAATTAGGATTCAAATAAACTATTCACAGGTCCTTATCCAAAAAACAACCTTCAAAACGACAAAGAAAATGTGTGCCTGAAAAGGTGTTCTCCTCATTCCAAGCATCTCAGGGCCGCCAATCAGTCCATCGTTTGTTGGGCTATGAAAAGCGCAGCGCAGTTTGGAAATAAATCAAGCACAAAAGAGACCACCACAAACAAAACACACACAAGAAGAAAAAAACCAGAAACCCACCAAAAGAGAAGCTGAACAAAAAACTGAATTCCAATTCGAAATGAAATGTAAATGCTGAGCCATCAAAAGATTCCAAGCTGCGCCGACAGCTGAGAGCAGATGATTCGTTCGTAAGTAACAAAAGCCACCAGGCAGAGCGGTGAGTCGCCAGGCGGGGAGTCACCAAAGAAGGAGAGCAGGTAATATAACGAATGTAGGATACCCTAGAAACGAAGAATATAATTACCAATAATGAGCCACAAGAAAGTTGTTCTATGGCGGGGTACATAAACAGAGCTGAGTAATGAAATCATCTAAATATATTGTACTTGTATGAAATAACCCACTTTTTTAACCAATCTATATCCCCCTCTTGTCTTAGGGTAATCCATAAAACATATTTTATTTCGTAGCAACATAAATTTGAATGCAAAGGCAGGAAAAACTTGGTCGAGCCAACGAAAAGTGCACAATATGCAAACAAGGAAAACCGAATACACAAAAATAAAAGAGAATGCAAAACCAAGCAGCAAAAGGAAAAAAAGACGAGTGACAGGGCAGCAGCAGGTGTGGCGAGGTGCTGTTTGCGCGGGGTATTTTTCCGGAGACAGAAGTAAAGAAAAAACCAAAAGCAGATATTTATTTATTTGAGCTGCGTGAGAGAGTGTATTGATAAGAGGGGAATGCTGGATAGGAATATTCAACGTCAATAAATGGCTGAGAACAATGCAAACGGTAGAAATGAAAACCAACGAAAGTGAAAGATTAAGTGGAAAAAGGAAAAAGTTACAAGGCAGGAGCTTAGCTATAGATTTCTAGGTATAATAAGAGTGTCGAAAAGTATTTAAAACTATTTGAAACTAAGAAATAAAGATCCATCCTAAACACATGTTAATCTTTTACTCTGCATCTGCTTTAACTATTACTACGTTTATATTATTTATGTCAATTAATATCCCATTTATCTTTGAGCTGAGACAACAACTCGCAGCCATCGAAATTCCCACATAAATTATTCAAGCCAAAACAACACTGGAATTGCCAAACATTTATCTTGATTGAACCCAATTACAATCACAATTTCCATTCAACATTCCCACTGATTGACATTGATTAAATTAATTTAAGAAAAGCAAAAAAGAAAAAGAGAGCAAATAAAATAAAAATACAAATTTTTGGGGTGGCCCAAAAACTTTTAGTGCATTCGCAACGACCTTCTTGTGCGTAGGGGGGCAGCGGGAGCGGGAGTTCATTCAACTTTCTTTTGCCGAAAAATTGAATTGGATTTCGGGTCTCTTGTCTGGCGAATTGAAACATTTGACGCCCAAAGAAAATTGTTATTGAGTGCTAACGGACACGTAACGTTGGCGGCGCTAAGCGAAAAACGGTTTTATAATGCCACAAGAGAAGACAAGACACAGAAGGCAGAGGAGGAGAAGAAGGTCCAAAGAATGTGTGTTGGCCCAGACTCGAACAAGTTGAAAATGTGTTTCCCCCCCCCCCCCCCCACCCCGCCACACCATAAAACCGGTTACAGGAACCTTTAGGAAAGTTGATCGACCAGCAAGCAAGCAGCAGGCAAGTATTTTTTTCGGGGCCAAAAATCAATTTCGTGTTAATTGTTTTGATTAAACTTGATTTTTATTTCCCAACCGATGGCCCTCCATTCGTGGCACTCATCCACCTGTCGCATCGTCACATTATTTGTCCATCAATTATCCATCATAATTATTTATGAAAAATGTATTTTTTGACATTGTTTTGATTTGGCAACTCTCTGCCTCTTGTTCGGCCGCCTACAAAAATCGATAAATAGCCAAAAAG